TGCTGTTTCCCTCCCCCCAAGTTTGAACTCACAGACCGGGCTGACAGGTCCTGCCAGTGGTCGATTTACTTCACTGTGGAACACTGGACTTTGTTGAGAGTCTAGTTGTCCTGGGCAAGCTCTCGTGAGTGTGGCCCAGTGTATCATCTCTAGGCTGTGGAAGCAGGTGGAAGGGACTGGTGTACCTCCAAAGCACACTGAGATGCTGTGAACATTTCACTGCTGGCAAATTTTCACAGCCCCTGTGCAGCCGAAAATAAACCAACAACACAGAGGGCGAGTTCCCTGACCAGGAGAAAAGCCACCCATGCTGTTAACACACTGACTCATCTGCTGAAAAGCAGAGGCAAATGCTGAGCAGAGTGGTAACTGCTGATGAGAAAGAGGAATGACTACACCTGTAAAGAGGTGGGGATATAAAAAAGACCGGCAAGTTGCCTGTATGTGTTGACATTATGAGTGATTTCAGTCTTCTTTTCTGTATTTCTATAACAAGTGCATGTATTTCATATTCAGAAAAAGGAAATTTTTCTATTATTATAAAGTACTTCTCAGACTGCGAGCTCTTCAAGTGCACAGTAGTTTTTTTGTGCCTGTTTGTATTTCTGGGGGCGTGGGGGTCTGGAACATAGTGGCTGCACTTAGGATCTGCTAAATGTATGACGTGTCGTGCAATTCTCCCAAGGATTCTGGACTTGCTTTCCTCCCTCATCCCTGGCAGTGCGCAGGTGCTGGAGGGCTGAGCAGTCAGGCCCCGGGGCGGGTGGGCCTTTGGAAGCTTGGCAACGAACACCCCGGGGGGGGGGTTTCTGGGTTCTCCCGAAGGGAAAGCAATGGGGGCCCCCAGGTCTGTTTCCCGCCAATGGCGTTAGATAGCGAGTAGAAGAAAGGGGACGCTAGCAGAGAAACCCAGCTGGGGTTTTGAGAAGCACCCACAGCCCTTCCGCGTTTTATGGAGATCCCGTGATATACCTGCCAGCAAGACGGCAGGATGGCTTCCCCATGAGGCCCATGAGCTTGAGAACCATCGCCGTTCCGAGGGCGGAAGACTCGAAGACCCTGTGTCTAGAGCAAGACGCGTCGGCCACCACTCTGCTCGGTTCCCACTTTGTTCTCCTGTAATGAGAAAGGCAAATTACAGACTTCCCCGAAATACATGAAACCCAGGATCGTGGAGACGGAGGAAGTCTGTGTTGGGGTTGGAGAACCGGCAGCGCTTGCTCCCCAGCGAGCGAAATTTTCGAGCTCCGCGTGCGCTGCGGTTTCCTACGTTCCCTTGCACCTTCAGAGGGGGTTTTGAGCGTTTGAAAATAGCATGAGCACCTGCGAATGACCGCCCACCCTGAGAACTGGAGCAGGGGCACTGCAGCTCCCTCGGGGAGCGCGCACCCGCTCGCCATTCCATCCCTACCGCGTTCCGGGTAACAGACAAGCTGCCCGCCTGCCGCGTACACGCCCACCTTCCGCCTACCTGTCCCCTCAACGCGGCAGCCAGAGGCTTCCCTGTGAGACGGGGTTTCCCATCTCACTCAGGCTGTGTGAACTTCCCTGCTGCTGGGCCCGCAGTCACAGGCCTGTCCCACACACGTGCCCTCTGTCGGAACCAGCCCCTCGGCGTCCACGTGGCTTGTGCCCTCCTCCCCTCGGGTCTTCGCTCAGATATCATTTCTCTACGGCGCCCTGCCGACCACGCGCCCTGCTCTATTTCCTCTCCACAGCAGTGATGATAGTCTGTGTGCCCTCCACCAGAGTGTGGCTCCATGAGGGGAGAGGTTCTGTCTCCTTTCCTCATTCCTGAATCCCCAGAGCCTGCGATGGTGTCCTGCATGTTGGTGCTGAATGAATGCATCTTGGTTGGGGGCTTTGGCTCCCAGCCACCTGCCCCTGGTCCTTGGGCTGTTTACAAGTCAGGAACAGAACCCCTGACCTCTAAGGAGCCGGCCCTGCCACCAGAGCCCGCGAGAGCACCGACCGCCCCAGTGAGCTCATCCAATGGCCTGACTATAAATGGAACAGGAAGCTTGAATCACTCAGATGATTCTAATGAACCAGGAGACTTCTCAGCTACCCGGGGACAGGAAGCTATGCCACCCAGTGAGTCACCGCTGTCCCCTGTACTCGTTCCTCAGTCTCCCAGCCCCAGGACAGGACAAGCACCTTAAGGTGGAAAAGTGTTGGCCTGGGTTCCAGTTGCAGTTTGCCATTAACTGGCTGTGTGGCACATCGCATGTCATCTCTGGGCTTCAGGTTTTTCCATCATAAAAATGAAAACTGATCAAATACAGCACCTGTTTTTAAATGATGTTTAAATGAGAGATTAAAAGAAGACATCATGGGCCGGCCGAGTGGCGCCATGGTTAAGAACTGGCTTGGGACGCCAGAGGGCCCCGGTTCGGATCCCACATATCAGGGCCAGTGACACTGCCTTCCACAGCTAAGATGCTGGACGGCAGCTCAACCTGGAGCTGGGCTGCTGTGGGGCGACGGCAACAGCGTGGGCTGCAGCCCCTGTGGCAGTGGGTTGCCGTGGGCTACCGTGTGTAGCCAGCAGCCAGTGTGAGCAGCCAGCAGCCGCAGTGAGTGGCCGTACAGAAGCCGGCGACTGATCTGTCTCACCCGGGAAGAGTGCAATGATGGTCCCAACTTGGGCCAGTGAAGCAACGTCCTCCACAACTAGACTGAAGAACAAAACGACAGCAACTTGTCTGTTCCCCTTCCCCCAATTCCCCAGCGCTGTTCCCATCCCCCCAATTCCCCAATAAAAATCTTTTAAAAAGAGGACATCACTGTGGATTTATTGTAACTTGGCTTGGGTGCTTTTATTAACCAACGCCATTTACTTTTTTTTTTTTAAGTTTTTATTGGGAAATTGAGGGAGGGGAACATGCTGGGGAATCGGGGGAAGGGGAACAGACAAGTTGCTGCCCTTTTGTTCTTCAGTCTAGTTGTGGAGGACATTGCTCCACTGGCTCATGTTGGTATTATCATTGCGTTCTTCCTGGGTGAGGCAGATCGGTCACCAGGGTGGCCAGCCGCTCACAGCAGCTCACACCGGCTGCCGGCAGCTCATGCTGGCTGCTGGACCACACGCAGTAGCTTATGGCAGCCCACTGCAGCAGGGGCTGCAGCCTACGCCATCGCCGGCAAGTCATGGAAGCCCAGCTCCAGGTCAAGCTGTTGTTCATCATCTTAGCTGTAGAGGGCACAGTGTCACTGGCCCTCATGTGTGAGCTGAACCGGGACCTTGCTGCTCAGAGCTGGTGTCCCAAGCCAACTCTTAACCAACACGCCACTTGGCTGGCCCAACGCTTTACTTTTCTGGCAGATATCTACTGTGTGGCCTGTTGTGTAATACAGGTGTTCAGTAGAAATGTTGGCTCATTCCTGACATTCCAGCCTCTTATTTTCTCCTCCACCTTCATTTCTAGAGTAGCCATAGTTGGGCTTCTATTTCCACCATGTAATTATTCGTTAATTAACTTGACAAACATTCATTGGGAGATGGCTGTACCCACAGACAATGGGAGCATGCAGCAGGCTCCAAGGGGGCCCCTGCCATGGGGGTGGCTCCTGTCCCTGGGGGTGGTGCCTGCCATGGGGATGGCCCCTGTCCTGGGAGAGGTACAGCCTAGACTTAGACGTCTTTCAGACATGCATGCTTTCTGAAGAGGGCGCTGTATACGTGATGCTCCAGGTCACTTGTAGCCCTAACTCTCAACCTGAGGGTTATTATAGATCCGGTTTAGGGACAGGAAGAGGTGGGGCCAGAGCCCTGGTGACAGCACAACACTAACAGAAATTAATAGAGTCAGGTTCAGTATTAATGGTTCCATTTCCACTGTTTTGATAATCCTCATCATTTTGCACTGTGGGATAATATTGCTGATCATCGTTTCTGCCAATATGTTAAGCCTGTGAACTAGTCCTGAAACACCCAAGTTTCTCAATTCCCCATCCTGTTGTCACCACCATTTGTTTGATGAGTTACAGGTGCATCTGTGCCACACCAGGGACCTTGTGGTACCCATTCACCCTCCCCTTTGGGCATCTGAGGTACTTGGGCAATCTCAGGCTGTGCTGGTAAGGTACTTAATGAACTCAAAGAACATGTGACATCACAGAGTTTTCTGTATCGACCGCCTAGATGTTCTGGCCTCATATCACACAGAGATCTTAAACACCAATATTTAACTCAGGCAGAACCTCTGTTATTTTTAGAATTATAGCCAACTTTCCTATTACCTATGGCTTGTACAAAGAGAGGAAAAGAGAGGAGGAAAAGGGCAAGAGAAAGAGAGCAAATGAACTCTAATGAAATAAATGAAATTATAAATGAAAAATCACACAAATATCTCTAAACCTCATTTTAGGCTGTTAGATATCTCATCCATCATCCATCCATCCATCCATCTATCATCTGTCCATCCATCCATCCATCTATCATTCATCAACCACCCATTTGTCTGTTCATCCATCCATCCATCCATCCATCCACACACCCACCCTTCCATCCAATATCTGGTGATTGTTTATTATGGGTAGGATAAAAATCACCAGAAAGACCCTGTCCCACTCTAGCATTCTATCCTTTTATGGACCCAGCACTGTTTTAGGTTCTGTGGGGTTTACAGAAATACAAAGCATTGATATTACCTCTGGGTTTATAAGTGAACTTGGAGGTCACAATCCAGTTTGCAGTCACACTGGTTCCCATTACTAAATTTTGTAAATGTACAATTAATTACATTTATAACTGTAAACTCTCCCACACACATTCTTATTTAAACCATGATGGCTAGTAAAGGAGATCAGATTGTATCATCAAGAGTAGGATCTGGCACATTATTGTTGTAAACAGCAATGATAGCGAACATATATATTAGCGGTTTTCAACCGTGGGCGATTTTTCATATCTGGCAATATCTGGAGACATTTGTGGTTGCTATACCTGGGGTGGAGAGGCTAGTGCTACCAGTATCTAATGAGTGGAGGCCATGGATGCTGCTAGGCATCCTGCAATACACAGGACAGCCCCTCAACAAGGAAGTGTGGGCCCACATGTAAGCAGTGCAGAGCCTGAGAAACCCATAGGCATATATGAGTGTGTGCATCCAAAACACTTATGATTTACCAGGCACACATGACCTCATCTAATACAACAGTCCTATGAGAGAGATGTATGAGTTTCCTGTGGCTGCTGCAACAAATTACCATGAATTTAGTGGCTTAAAAGGACTCAGAGGGGCCGGCTGAGTGGCTCAGTTGGTTAAGAGCTCGCTCAAGAGTTTGAGCTCTGAGCAACAGCGGTTCGAGTCAGCCCGAGCTGAGCAGGAAGAAAAAAAAAAAAAAAGGACTCAGAGTTATTCTCTTATTCTCTTACAGTTCTGTGGGTTAACAGCCAAACTGAGTTTCACTGGGCTAAAATCAAGGTGTCGGCAGGGCTGGTTCCATGTGCAGGCTCTAGGGGAAGATCTGCTCCTTGCCTCTTCCAATTTCTAGAAGAGTCTGCATTCCTTGGCTGGTGCCACCTTCCTCCATCCTCACAGCCAGCAGCGTCTCATGTCTTAGACTCTTCTCCCGTGGTCATGTCTCTCTCTGTACATGGATGGGAAAGACTCCTGGCTTTTAAGGACTCATGAAATTAGACTGGGCCCAGATAATCGGGAATGATCTCCCCATCTCAAGGGTCCAATAATCTTAATCACACCTGTAAAGCCCTTTTTTGTGATGGAAAGAAACATTCATAGGTTCTAAGGATTAGGACGCAGACATTGGGGTGCTATTATGCTTCCTACCACAGCCTGTGTTACTATCACCTACAGTTTCATGCAGAAAAATTTGAGGTCAGAGAAGCAAACAGCTCATCTGAGGTTCTGCATTTACTGGGCCCAACTCCAGCCCTATGGCTCCAGAAGGGCTCGTGTCAGCAAGTCGAAAGGTCGGAAGAATAAGGGGTGTGGGGGGAGGGGGGACAGAACAAAGGGGACTCCAGCCTTTCAGGTTCCTGCACAGAAACGCCAGTGAGAAGCTACCCAGTCACCGGTGGGCAGGAGAGAAGGAACCGGTGCAGTGATCCCCGAATCGCTTGCAAGTTTTCCCTTATGTCTCCAGCCTGCCTTCCTGCCCCCAGCTGCTGCCCCCCACCTCTCTCTGTGGTTGAGGTACCCGAGTCCTGTGAGATGCACGTGTATTGTTTGACAGAAGTGCTCACAGCTTGCATGTTAGTTGCATAACGTGGTGAGAGGCGAGGGCTGGCTGGGCCTGAATGTGGACCTCCCCCGGGCGGGTTTAGAGCACGATTTCCGGGAGTGACTGCTGACCCCTGGACTCCAAGACCTCCCGGACCCCAATATCCCCGATCCCGAGACCCCTCCGGACCCCAAGACCCCGGGTCCACCCGAGACTTCCCCACCGGACTCCAAGACCCTCCCATTCCCGAGATCCCCGCCAGACCCCGAAACCCCGGGCCCACCTGAAACTCCACCCCCTGGACCCCCTATATGCCCAGGATCCCCGGAGCCGCGAGATCCTCGAAGATCCCCGGGTCGCCGACACCCCCTGAGATCCCCGGAGACCCCCAAGACCCCTGAACCCCCGTCCCCCGAGCCGAGCCGGGCGGAGGCAGCACAGACCCCCAGGGAGGCCTGTCAGGAATCCCTCCTTTTCCCGGCAGGGACTGAACTTCCGCGCTGCCCCACTCCCCGCGGTTGCGACCCCTCTGCGGTGGACCTCCAACCAGGCGGGGACGCTGTGCCACGCAGAGGTCCTGCGAGGGGAACGCAGGGAGCACCCGGAAGTGACGCGTCCGGCGGGAAGTCCCGCCCCTTGGCCTCCGCGGAAGTCTCGCTTGCTGATTTGTGTTCCTCGTGGCCGACCATCGGCATGGCGCACTACAACTTCAAGAAGATTACGGTGGTGCCGTCCGCCAAGGTAAGCGTCCCCAGGCCTTCTGCTCTAGCCTTTCTCGGCCGGGTCGCCGGGAGGGCTCGGGCCTGTAGGACTCTCCCGCCAGGCCCCGCTGCCAAGGCCATGTCCTTTAGAGATTGGGGCCTACCGGGGTTAGGGATGCCTCCAGAGAGGAGGGGGCCCTTCTCTGAGGTTTTGGTTCGTCCTCAGAGGATTGGGTCCCCCCAAAGAGGAGGGGTACCGCCCCAAAAGTTGGGGCAGAGTCAGGGAAAACTGTATGCAGCAGGTAACTTTTGAAGTGGCCCATCGAGAAGTCATAAAAGCTGGGAGATGGAGGAGAGAGTAGAGATCTGGAGGCCAGACGTGGGAGGCCCTCCTGGTACTGATTGCTGTAGGCCATTGGTGTCTGTGCGCTAGAGTATTCAAGCAGAAATCTTTGATGTCCTCAGCCACCTTACATAGCCTAGGAAATTATAAGCAGTGGATTTTAGTTTTACCCATTATTTTATGTACTTTCAAAGTCAAAGATATGCAAATTGAAATTGTAGGGTGGTTTCTTTTTAAAATATTTTTTCTGATAAAGGCCATAAGCTATACAGATGATAAGATTGTATATAAAAGATTAAAGGTTTGGTTATAAAAAGTGTTTGTAGTTTAAGATACGTAGTACAAGGTGTGATAAAAAAAATACAGTGAATGCTTAAATTTTAAGAACTTTCTACAGCAAAAGACACATTGCCATTAATCCCCCTCAAAATACTCCCCGTCGCTTCGAACACACTTATCCCATCGTTCTGGCCAACTTTCTGAAGCAGTTCTGGAAGTCCTCTTTCCTGAATGTCTTTAGTTGTGCTGTTGTGGCTGCCTTGATGTCCTAAATCGGTTCAAAACGTTTACCTTTCCTGGTCATTTTGACTTTGAGGAAGATCCAGAAATCGCACCATGCCAGATCCTGTGAATAAGGTGGATGAGGACACACCATAATGTTATTATTTGACAGAAATTTTCATACCAGAAGCGATGTGTGACACGGAGTATTGTCATGATGGAGGATGAAACCATTTTCTCATTTCATGTTATTACATTGTGATCCATGATTTACGGCACAGTTTAAAACACACCTTCTCTCAATTGTAGCTCACACCCGACCGACTGTACTTTACAGATTGAAACTTGTCACACACTGTTACTAAGGTCTAGTGCGTCACTTCCAGTATTAAAGATCCCTGCCTTTTCGTTGGATGCCACTTGGCAGCAGCATTCACCGTATTTTTTTATCACACCTTCTATTATTAGTCATTTAAGAAGGCTTCAAATAAGTGGATGAAAAGTAGACTTTTTAGTGTAACTATCTTTATTTAATTACAGGACTTTATTGACCTGACATTATCGAAGACTCAGCGAAAGACTCCAACAGTTATTCATAAACATTACCAAATTCATCGCATTAGACATTTTTACATGAGAAAAGTCAAATTTACTCAACAGAATTACCATGACAGACTCTCTCAGATTCTAACAGATTTCCCCAAATTGGACGTAAGTAACTCTGGGGGCCTCAGATAGTCGTGTAAATGTGAGCCTTCAGGTAACGGGTGTTAACCAGTTTGGTCTACTCATCTGACAGATAATGAAGGAAACAGAAAGTAATTGACTTGTTAAAGTTTACTTAGTGGCAAAGCTGGGCACAGAATACAGGTTTTTTTGATTTCTTAGTATTCTTTCCCCTCAACCAAACCCCACCTAAGAATTGCCAGAACTGTCTCTTGAGGCTTTGAAACCTCCAGGCATGCAGGGACCACTGCAAGCTCGCAAAGCTGTGACTGAATCCAGGAGCCCACATTCTGGTGGCTCTCCACCTTGCCTGGCTTCCTCTCCTCCCTCTTTTCACGGCTTCTTTTCCTGGCCTCAAGTTGGGTCCATGGCCTGAGGCCTACCACCGTTTATGTTCTTGTTGGTTCATCAGACGATGGTGGTCAGTTCAGCTCTGACCACCTTCTTCACTGGTGAGAAGAAATCGTGTGGGGGAGCTGTGACTTCTCCATTAAGCAGAAACATTGCACTCTGCTGCATAGTGCAGTTTGCGCGTTCGTTTCGCTGTAGAACGCTAGATGGACACTGCTTATGAAGTCTCTGGAAGGTCACGCGGTGGCAGGGTTGTTTGACGTGGTGAAGGATGTGGGGTCAGCATACAGAGTGAGCCTAAATTTGCCCCCAAATCGTTACTGCAGGCAGGGTAAGGCAAAGAGAAAAGGTTGGTTCATGTGATAAGAATTGCTTTTATACTTTAGAAGATAATGATGGATTGTTCTAAAAAAATACAGAAGTGTTTAAAATAAAAACTAAAAGTTTCTGCTAGTGGACAGGAACATATCTTAATGTCTCTAGGGCTAGACGGGGTGCTCAGTAGGTGCTTGTTGAAGGAATGAGTATTTCTTGGATAAGGGAAGGTTCTGTGGAAAATACCTGGGGATGAAAAAAGACAAGTTATTCTAAACTACTTTGATATTAGGAAGTACCTGATTTGAGCAAACAAAACACTGATCTGGTTAGTGCCAGGTTTCTGTGGTTCTTTGTAAGTTTCATCTTTTTCATCCGTGGTATCTTTTTTTATACATTAGAGGTTCACATTTATGAACAGTCTAGTCCCTTTTTTTTTTTAAACTTAGTTACTTGAGAATTTGAATAGAGGGTTAAAGTAAGTTACTTGTTTATCCAGTAATCGCTGTGTCTCAGGTACTGTTTTAGGCAGTAGGACTACAGCAGTAATAAAAGAACTCCCTGTGCTCGTCTAGTGGTGGGGGGAAGACAGTAAACGTGAAAACAGATGGCGTGCCAGATGAGTAAGGAGAGTAGGGAGTGCCCCAGCAGGGTTGGTAGCAGAGACCTGGAAGAAATGAGGTGGGTGGCTGTGCAGCTCCCTGGGGAAAGCAGGTGCAAAGACCCTGAGGTCCAGAGTGGGGTGTCTTTCCAGGAACAGGAGGACCCGAGTTGGAGCAGGGAGTGTGAGAGGGAGAGAGCTGGGGGTGGGTCCGGGAAGTAATGTGGGGCTTGAATTCCAGGGTTCCGGACGGAAGTCTTTGACTCAGCTCTCTTAGAGGACGCCTCCTATGGGGTGGGAGACCACTCAGGGCCACGCGATGACTTAGACAACTGCAGGTGGTAAAGGAGTTGAGAAGTGGTTGGCTTCAGGGGGTCCCCCGAGGACGAGTCCTGGATTTGCTCTAGCAGGTGTGGGCCGTGGCACCTTGGACAGCGGAGTCGCTGGTCCCTGAGCTGGGAAGGGCTGCATGAGAGATGGGTGATATAACGTCCAGGTGGAAGTCCCGCGCAATCAAGCTCATGAGAGGCCTGGCCTGGAGGCGGAAAGCTGGTACTTGTGGAAACGTAGGTGTGTAAACCTACATGAGGTCACCCAGGAAGCGAGTATGGGCAGAAGAGTGCTCTGGGGAGCGCAAACAAGGGCGTTGCAGAGGTGGCCAGTGAGAGAGGGTCCTGGGGGTCAGAGGAGTAAATGCATCAGGAAGGGACGGCCAGCTGTCGAGTGCTGAAGTGGTCTGGTGACAGAAAGGGAGAACTGGAGGTCACGAGCTGTGTGGATGGCCTGATAGAGATAGTCCTGACTAGAGCGGATTAGAGTGGGGGAGAAAGAAGACGTTACCTCTCTTTGTGGCATTTACTGAGAACGAGAGGAAAGGAAAGGAGGGAGTGGGCGTTCAAAAGAGTTTTAAAACTTCTAAAATTTCCTTGGGAAGTGATAACATATGGCATGTTTGTAGGCTGATGGGAATGGCCGGGTGTAGAGGGAAGAATTCGAAATGGAAAAGGGAAGACTGTGGAGTTCAGTTCTTAGTCATAAGGCAGTGGGGTCCAGTGCACAGACAGAGACGTGGCCTTGGCTGGATCCAAGGACAACTGTACCACTTGGGAGCGGGGATGAAAGCATTCTAGGGGCGGGTGTGGGCGAGCGGAAGTGACTGCTGGGCCTGCTTCCCTGTGCCTGCTCGTGTTCTCAGAGAACCGGACATTAGCCAGGAGAGGACTGGGCTGGGAGATGCTGGGGTCAGGGAGAGGGAAAGGCGTGATGTATTTCCCTAGGAAATTCCTCTTCGTGGGGTGGGAAATTGCTGTGCCAAGCTGACCGCCTCACTCCTTGTTACAGGACATCCATCCTTTCTATGCCGATTTGATGAATGTCCTCTACGACAAGGATCATTACAAGTTGGCTCTAGGACAGATCAATATCGCCAAAAACTTAGTGGACAAGTAAGGCGTTTTCCTAATATGGTACCTTTACAGTTACTGTCAAAAGTGAAAGACTCTTACATATTTCTTTTCACTTTTTCAAGTGTCGCCAAGGATTATGTGCGGCTCATGAAATACGGGGACTCCCTGTACCGCTGCAAGCAGCTGAAGCGAGCCGCCCTTGGCCGCATGTGCACCATCATCAGGAGACAGAAGCAGAGTCTGGAGTACTTGGAACAAGGTGCGTGCTGCGCAGAGCGGTCCTGATGTGCTGCTAGAGTGCGTGGTTCTGTCAAGAACTTGGTTTTGAAATGTTTTTGTTTTATTTTAGACATGACAGGATCAAATTATTCCTAGCCTAGCCTATGAGAAGTTCTAACAGGCCAGTTATTTAAAAAGCAGCTGGCACTTAAAATACTTACAGATTAATAGCACTCTTAAGAAAATTTATGTTTCTCACGTTTAATGTGTAAGGCATGTACATCATAAATCACAGGCAAAAAAAAATGTATGTATATATAAAATGACCCATGGCTTTATCGATTGTTGACTTTGTTTTTTTTAAATGCTTTCTTTGTAACATGTGATGGCATCAAACAGCTACCTGACAGTTGTATTTACCCAACAGTTTTGTTGCCTAGCAGTTGTATTTAATAGGACAGTACCTGAATTAACCTGGTAGGGTTTTTATCGAAGCACTCCTTTGCCTTTTTACATGCATATATTTTGCACTACAAATGTTTTTAACTCATTTGGTTTTGTTCTCCCTCGCCTGGCATCTTGCAAATAATTTGCAGCAAGATTGCAATACTTGGCAGCTGCGACAGTGCTTCTTTCCTGCAGGGTAACCCGGCAGGGCCACTGGCGCTGTGTGCACTGCACATGAGGCCCCTGGGGAGCAGTCATTACATGGAAACACACCTGTCTAGCCAGGAAGTGATGGCACGCTTGCTCACTGGCTCTGAAAGCACTTTTCCAAATGGCATGGCACTTAGAGTCGCCTGGGCACTTCTTAGACATGCGTGTGTGGCCCAGCCTTGGACCTGTTGGGCAGGAACTCCCGGCTGCTGGGCCAAGGACTCCTGTCTTGCAGCCTGATTTGGGGGGGTCCTGTCCTCTAGGCCCTGGTGCCTCTGCAACTGATGCTTTTTCGTTTATCCAGCTTTTCTCCGTCACTTATATTATAAAGGTGGGAGTGACATTAATATGACCACTGGCTTGGAGTGTGACTCAGTCAGGTAGATCTTCATCTTTGAGTTTCTTGATTTGTCTTGTGAAATTAAGCACATTTAATTTATTTAATCTTCTCACAGTGCGTCAGCATCTGTCCCGTCTGCCAACGATTGACCCGAACACGAGGACCCTGCTCTTGTGTGGGTACCCGAATGTCGGCAAGTCCAGCTTCATCAATAAGGTTGGTCTGTCTCTGATGAAGATGCAGGTGGCTGAGGACCTAAGGCCAAAGCACTGCCATGTACTGACGGCCTGGGATGGAGAAGGCTCATCAGCTAGGCCTTCAGTTGCTGCTGCCCTAGGCTTAAAACACTGCTCTCCAAGGGAAGATCGAACTTGTCTAACCTGGAACTGTTGCTGTTACAATAACCGTTTTTAAAATTTCATTCTTGTGTGTGTCCTACAAATTTCTAAGGGATTTAAGGACATTTTTGTTAACACATGCTGTCTCAGCTTTCACATAAACTATATAGTCCATGTAGTGGGAAGTGCTGAGTCACTCTTTATTTGAGTGAGTTTATTAATTGGGACTCAAGGGCACTATTTAAGGAACTAGGTGCTTCAGGACAGTTTAGCTGACTTCCAGGGACCTGAGCAGAGTACAAACAGCTTTCAGTGTCAGTTCAAACCAGCAACAACTCAGGTGCCCAGAAACAATTATTACGTTTGTGTGGCTACTTGCCACCGAGAACACTTCTATTTAAGCAGATTTGTAGGTTTTTATTTTGTCCACAGCTATGCTGATGTAGTGACAAGCTGCAGCTCTATGGTGTCCTAGCTGAGGTTGCCAACACTTGTGAGCCAGTGTCACTTAATTAAAATTAAACAGTAAAAAAAGTGACTTCCTTAGTTGCACTGACCACATTTCAAGAGTTCATGGGAAGCATGTGGCCAGCAGGCCCCAAATGGACAGGACATATACAACATTTCTGTCATCAAGAAAAGTTCTGAGCTGGGGTGGATGCATGTTCTCCAGCTAATGTCCTCCCTTGGCTCCCTTATACCTAATCCAGACGTTTCCCTGCAGCCTGGTGTGAAGACATGGAGCCTGCCCTCCCTCTGTCAGAGCACGGGAGCTCCTGTCCTCAGCAGTGTAGCCAAGGAGGCCTCTTGTTTTTGTCTTCTCCTACCAAAACAGTCAGTCTCGCTAGCACGGCAGTGCCATGCGTACATTGCACAGTGTGCCATGCCTGTGACTGTCCTGGTCGTTTGGTTTCAGGTGACGAGAGCAGATGTGGATGTGCAGCCTTACGCGTTTACAACCAAGTCTTTGTTTGTCGGCCACATGGACTACAAGTATCTGCGCTGGCAGGTGAGAGCTCTGCTCTAGACGTAGAACAGCTGTCCCGGTGGTTGTTAGTGGGTGTTCTTTTCATTCCTGGAGTGTCCGTCTCTCTGTGCCGTCAGTCAGAGGGGAGACTGAGGCAGTGGGAAGTGATCCTTGGGGTTGCCAGCAACACCCCATGAAGAGAACTCTGAGCTTGGGGGTTGCATTCCTTTGATGGGGTTCAGGGGAGCAGCCAGCTACCAGGAAGGGTTTTGCATGGTGTCGACAGCGCTGCCGTTGGTGCAGTGAAAGTCCCCTTGTCACTGTTTTTTACCCTGCTGTTAGAAGTGGCATTTACTATCTATTTAAAAGCATGAGGCAGTCTGTTTCCACAGTTGAATTTATAAATGATGAGGTAGTTCCTCCATGTGGGTGTGTTTGCCAATTCCAGTTGTCCTGTTTTATGATGTCACTGAGAGCAGAGGGGCATTTTCTCAAGGTCGTTGCTAGTTTTTTGATGAGCTTTGCAGGCTCTCCACTTGTCCCTCAGTGCTTGGTTTTCTTACCACGATCAGCTGGGACACCTGCGTTTCATTAGCTAGTGTTGTCAGGCTGCCATGGGTGAGTGACCTTGGGTGTGCTGGGCGGCAGGGGTGTAAGCATGTGTGCTTTTGTGTGATGAGTCTGACCGTTAGGTTGTAGACACCCCAGGGATTTTGGATCAGCCTCTGGAGGATCGGAACACCATCGAAATGCAGGCCATCACGGCCCTGGCCCACCTTCGAGCCGCGGTGCTGTACGTCATGGACCTGTCTGAGCAGTGTGGGCACGGGCTGCAGGCCCAGCTACAGCTGTTCCAGAGCATCCGGCCTCTGTTCGTCAACAAGGTGAGTGGTGAGCAACTCCGGGGCTGGTGGGCGCAGTGTGAAGGTGCTGGTGACTCACCGTGCTTCCTTTTGCTCTAGCCCCTCATAATTGTAGCAAACAAGTGCGACGTGAAGAGGATAGCTGAGCTTCCTGAGGACGATCAGGTAGGTCGCCCTGGTGCTGTGAGTATTTCTTACAACTCAGTCTCATCTCAGCCGACCCGAGTTTGGAGGGAATGGTAGCACTGCTAGTCCGCATTTCTGTTTTGTGGTTGACGTAGTGTCTCATGTTTAGTTGACATGACGTTGTAAAGACTTTTAGGGGCAAAGTAAACCTGAAATTTCACGATAGCTACAGTGTTGTAGAGGCTGTGAAGGTGTCTGTGCGTGTGACTGGGTGGCACGTGCAGTCTCTGGAGGACATGTGTGCGTGGAAAGGGACTGCCCTACCCAGGGCCTTAAGGGAGGCGCAGCGCAGGCCCTGGCGGTCAGTGCATAAGGCAGCACCTCGCAGCATCAGTTTCCTGATGGATGGCGGGTGTTTCATGGTTGTTGCCTACGTTTGCTGCTCGGAGTCTGGGGAAGTGAGTTTGGGGACTGAGGGAATGGAGAAAAGCAAGCATCTGACACTTTCCAGGACCGCCATCAGCCGTATCTGCTGCAGTTTTCAAGAGGCAGGGATGTCAGCCCAGGTTTCCAACTGGTTTGACCCTGCAGCCCTCTTCAGTAGCGTCTGTCAGGACACGTGCTGTGCGGAGCTTTGGCCGGTACAGTGGTGCTCAGGTGTGGCTCTGACCAGCAGTGTCAGCATCACTTTCCTGAGGTGATGTGTCCTAAATGCACGGCCTGTGGAATCAGATTTGGGGGTGGGCCAGGCTGGGCTTAAGCCCCCCGCGGTGGGTCACACTGGAGATAGGGCAGCCTCTACACTGGGATGCAAGCGACATGGTGGGGCTGGCTGTCTGACCTCGCTGTTTTCCACAACCTCTGCTCTTTCCAGGGGAGGCGGGCGTCTGAGCAGTTGGGTGGACCCTGTAGTGGGGATGCAGCCAGACGATCACCTGAGTCTGAATGTGGTCATGTCTGCAGTTGGGGAAGGGGCACAAGCGAGGTCCCTTCTCTCAGAGTCTAGTGTTTTATAAGGAGCTAGATTGGTAACCATTTTAATGTTGTTTTTCAAGAAGTTCTCTTAGGCTATGGAGGCCAGATATTTTATTTTAAAAAGAGCTTTGAAAACATTCTTTAAAAAAAATCACAGAAGAACACAGGGAAAAATAAGTAAATGTTTTTGGGATACACCCTTCAAAAGAGCTAAGAAACAAACTACAACACCCACTTGAGAAACAGTAATTGTTCGTGGGGACTAGGAAATAACACGTCTAATTTTTCCTTTGTATTCCCAGAAAATATTTATGGATTTGCAGGCCGAAGGATTTCCTGTGGTGGAGACCAGCACCCTGACGGAGGAAGGGGTTATTAAAGTGAAAACAGAGGTCAGTGCTTCCTCACAGGCAGGTGTCGATCCCTTTACCGTCCTCTTGTTTAGAGCAGTCAGTCATGGGGAAGGTTTCTTGGCAGGTGTTGCTAGCACCGAACGTGGCAGTGGCTTAGGCAGGAGGCACGCAGGCGTCCCTGCTGAGCCCTCGTGGAACGTGGGGCTTTGCAGGATACTCACACCCTCCGGCACAGGTAGTTTAACTGTGCCTGTGGCCTGCTGCTTCTCTTACCTGCCAGTGTCTCCAGGGGAGCTGTCCTGAGAAGTTTTTCGTGGAACACATTCAGAAGTGGAAGGAAAAGAGGAGTAATGGTGGGAACAGCTTGAGGCATTTCCTGTTAGATTCCACACGATTCTGATATTCTTACTTTGTTGTTCTTTTTACCTGAAATAAAAAGAAAGGGCACCTCTGATACCATTGGTTTTGCTCAGGCTCAGTTGCTCTAGTGAGTCCTGAGGTGGTTTATCATGTGAATTGGGTCAGGGAGGACTGTCTGGTGAGCACGGGGTCACCGGTGGTGGGAGAAGGGCCCAGAAAGGGATGTGGGGGCTCTCAGGCCAGCTCTGTGGCTATGCTGTCTCGGGGCTCTGCCTCCAGTTGGTGGGGCCTGTCTTGGAAAGGGAGAAGAAAGTCACTGCCTGCCTCCTAGAGGGTGGGGTCAGCCCCCCCAGAGTTACTGGACTTTGGGTGGTCCTGGGGACTTTTAGCCACCAGATGTCACTACTGAGCAAAAGTGGGTAGCCAGTTCCAAAGCTTTGGAATTTAGTCTCTGGGTCCTGGTTCTTGTGGGAAGGTGACCGGGGCTGCTGCAGGATGCCTGTGACTCCATGTCTTGTTTCCACACTTCCTTAGGCTTGTGACAGGCTTTTGGCTCATCGAGTTGAAGCCAAAATGAAGGGAAACAAAGTGAATGAAGTGCTGAACAGATTGCATTTGGCTGTGCCAAACAAGAGAGATGATAAGGTAAGGTGGCCGCTCCAGGAGCCTTAGCGGCAGGCCTATGGCATTGTTGACACAGTGGACATGCTGCGTGCCTTCACCCAGTGGCCACAGGCTCAGTGACACACACGTGCACATGGATTTCTTGGGCAGAGCAGGCTTGAGTTTCTCACTCAGACTAAAATATGCCGTGTGTGTCAAAAAGGTGCTTGGCGAGGGTGAGGAACCCAGTTACAACTTGCTCACCGCGCCAGAGGCAGCTGCTGTTACCTGTCGGCAATTTTCCAGAAATACTGTTGGTATCGAAGTGTACTTTGAAAAAATTTTAAATGCAGAAATATATTAGTTCTTTCAAATACTTCATTTTCTTGCTATTTGGAACAGTGCTAAAGCGCACCTCTTTATGCACAGCTCTTTGTTTTTGTTTGCAAGCATATCTGTAAATTTCAGGGTATGGCACCGAAGGTGTCACTGTCCTCCCAGAGTGCCTCACCAGGTGTGCTGCACTGACAGCTGCCTGCACTGTGGGTGTGTCTGTCTAGTCTATTGAAGGTGGTTCAAGGTGGTCGATTCAACGGTGCTGGTCACTTCGTCGTGTGAACAGGTATGGGATTAGGACGCTGTCCACCTGAGAGGCGTGTCAGAAGGCGTCCTGCTGTGATGCACTTAACGATCAGGCAGCTGAGCATTCTCAGTGTGCTGTTGGCTCCCCAGTTCTCCCGCTCTTCTATCCTTGACTCATTGCCTTGTAATTTCTATAGTAAGGAAGTCACTCTTGTATGTTCTATAAAACATTTTTATTTTTTGCTGTTGCCTTTTGATTTGGGTTTGTTTTTGTTTTGTTTTGTTAACCTCAAAGTACACATTTTAAGCTATTAGCATATGTTAATAGTTTCTCTGTGGCCGCTGGATTTTGTGTCATACATAGAAATGCCTTCCGTCCATTCTTGAAGTAGTTCTGCTATGCTTTGATGCTTTCATTTTTAAAATTTTACCAGCTTTGAATTTATTGTGTTCTTAGGAAGCAGATGGAGATCGCTATCCAGCTTTGTTTTTCGGCTGACTACTTATTTATCTCACGTTTAATCTGAATTCCTCTTGTTCGTTGATCTTTATTTATCCTGTATGACTTTCTTTGTTCATCATTGTTCTTGATAGTCTTACAGCCACTTTTTCCAAGTGAACTTGACGTCGGCTCGCAGAGTCATCCTAACTTTCTTGCCCAAACTGGCGCTGTGTCCTCCCCTTCCCCTGAGTCACCTGTTTGTTCTTAATTGGCCTGAGTATGGTGTTATATTTCCTTTGCTAGTGGAAAACTTCCAGTTTTTCATTTTTGTTTCTTTCTCATTCTGCAAGGCATTTTACATAAACATGTGCACAATGTCTTCTCAGGAGAGGCCCCCTTTCATCCCAGAAGGAGTGGTGGCACGCAGAAAGAGGATGGACACTGGGGAGCCGCAGAGAAAAAGGGTGGGTTTACTTGTGGAGGGGTACGAGGGTTGGGGACTTAGCGCCTGCTGCCTGGTGCCCTCTGCCCATGCCACTGTGCCCTGGACATGGCCGAGGAACCTGACAAGTTACCTGCGCTCGCAGTGTGGCCCTCTTGGTGGTCAGAACAGCTCTCCAAACGGATGTGGTGTGGGACCGCTTGCCTTTGGGTAGGGGAAGGGACTATTGCTCAGGGCAGGAGTGGCTCGACATTTCTGGCCCCACAAGGTCAAGTGGAGCTCACCGTAGTCATTTGCTTTTATTACAGGAACGAGATATTGAGCTGGAACTGGGAGACGATTACACTTTGGATCTTCAGAGTAAGGACTGGCACATAATGCTAACTTTAAAATACCAATTGTGTGTAGTGTTTCAGAAAAGTGGAAGGACTTGAATGAGCATGTTTTGCTCCTTTCTTAAAGATGAGAGGCTGCATGTTGGCAGGGCTCTGAGGTTCCTTCCTGGTGATGGTCTGTCGTTTCAGGGGAGGGGTTCTCTTTGTAGCTTTCATAGCATGGAAACGTTGAACCAGCTTTGATATTGCTGTTAATGTTATTCATGCCTTTTTCCTTCGAGCATATCTTGTTTTTTGTTTTTGTTCTTCTGGGTTCACTTTGTCCTGGGGTACTGATAGACCTTCATGAACGTTGGAGTGATCTTTTCATTACCGTGTGGCTTTGCTTACATAGAGTCGATTACAAACGCTCTATTCTCTACAGAATGACATGACTTGTGTAAGCTATAACTCATTTGGGGCATATGATACTTGAAAATATTAGACAGTATTATAAATGTAATTTAAAAAAAATTTTTTTTTACTTTAGAATACTGGGACATAATGAATTCATCTGAAAAATATGATAAGATACCCGAGATCTGGGAAGGCCATAATGTAGCTGATTACATTGATCCTGACATCATGCAGGTGTGTGTACTTATTAAACTATGTGATTTTGTTCCTTTTTAATACAAGCAGTAGAGAATATAAGCACAACTTTCAGTCCCTGGTATCTGTTGCCCAGGTTCCTTCTGCACCCCCTGAGCCTCTCCATCCCCAGTCACCGACAGCTGACCCTGCTGGGGGTGCCGAAGCCCCAGACCTGCCGGCTGGGCTCCCCGGGTGCAGGCCGTTGACCCTCTCCCCGCACAGGCCGTGTCCCTTCTGCACAGACTCCTGCTCCTTCCCTGTGATGCTCTCAGGGATGCGGGGCCTTGGGCCTGGTGCTGCTAGTTCTCAGGCCTGATTCGTTCTCTTCGAATTTTGCTGTGTCACCGTGTTGTCCTCCTGTTTCAGTCTCCTCCCCGTTTGCTTTTTCTTAGCATGAGTGCCTGCAATTTCTCTTCTTTAAACAACAAAATCCCCTGTCTTCCTTCAGTTGCTACCCTGTCTTTCCTCAGCCAAGCTTTTTGAAAATGACGCTTTATAAAATATTTGCCATCTACATGTCCTCATGTTTCTCTCGTCAGTTCCCCATGGTGCCCTTAATTTCTACATTGAGTCTTCAATATCTGGGGATGAACCTCACTGCAAGTCTCCCTCACTCCGTTCCTGTGTTTCCCTCCTGGAACATTCCTCGTGCTCTGCTGTCTGATTTGCATCCTCACTGCTTTGCTTTACTTAGACAGCTTTTCCGTGTCTTGCCCCCTGTTTGCACCCTGTTGTCCACACTCCCACACGTGAGAAGTCATGTCACCATCCTTTAAACTCCTCACTGTGCCTCCTGCTTTCATCTCCTGCTGCGTGGCGCCCAGTGTCGCCTGTGTGGGATCAGGGTGGCCTGTGCGTGGCCTGGCCATGCCTTTTCCAGGCTCCCCCCACCATCACCATACAGAAGTAGTGACATGGGCATGTGTGACTGCTGGATTCCTGCCGGTTTATTTGCTGGGTTGTGACATACACGCACGTATCTTTTTATTGTAATTGCACAGACCAGTGCAGGTTGGTGTTTTCAGCTGTTCTGGGACCATGGGTGAAGGAGGTGCTGTCTGCACATTGGAGCCTTGCTATGGGCACTCACTGGTTTTTAAGGAGAAGCAGACATGGCACAGAGCAGTTAGCGATTTGCTCTCAGCTCGGCGTGTGTGCACATTTCACTTTTCTTCCTGAATCTTTGCTGGGAGGTCAGCTATGGCACATGGACGAGGCCCACATGAGGTTGGACCCTGCATCCATGGTCCTGGAAGGCTTAGGGGAACCTGGTTCCCATATAAAGGTTCCTATGCTTATGAGGTTTCCATTGTTGGTTGTGTTTCATTCTGATTCTTTTTAAAGAAACTGGAAGAGCTAGAAAAAGAAGAAGAGCTAAGAACAGCTGCTGGAGAGTATGACAGTGACTCTGAAAGCGACGATGAAGAAATGGTGGCAATCCGAGAGCTTGCAAAAGAAATTAGAGAAAAAAAGAAGTTGAAAATTCTGCAATCGAAAGAGAAGGACACACACGGACCGAGAATGCCACGAACTGCCAAGAAGGTAAGTTTGTGCGTCTTCTGTGGTGGGACCCACTTGTTTGCATGCGGGGCTCTGTGAGTCAGTGCCGAACACAGCACTTTCCTGTGTGGCCGTGATGCTGCATGCGCGGTGTTGTTGGTATGTGCTGACTTTAAGGTTGGTTTAGTCTTGATCTTTCCTATTCTGATAGTGCCCTTTGTTCGCAATCATCAAAGTTCACTACTGGAGTCAGCCACGTGACTATCTTACAAATTAAGATCATAATTTATGGCTTGCAGATGTAAAGATCATCAGTTCACATGGTCTTGCTCTTTATTTTATTAGTCAGATACACCTTTGCCATTTCCACAAACCTGACCCAATCTAACAAACCCGAAGGCAGTTTACTGGCTCCTGGGACCTGTGAGGAAGGGAACAGCACACTCTAGGTTCGAGTGGGTTGGTGAGCTCACGGTTCTCCCAGCTCAGCTCCCCCTCTGGAGGCATCTTTGTCTCCTCATGCTCTGGTCAGGGCAGCGGGTGAGGCTAGGTCCTGTCTTGTCCCCCAACCACCCTTGGGAGTGGCAGAAAGGGGGTGGGGCCAGCTCCCCAAAGGAGCAGGAAGACATGCAGGATGGTCAGAGGGCAGCATGGGAAGGAGCAGGACGACAGTGCAGAGCCCTCGTGGCATCCATGTGCTTGACAGTGCACGTGATGGTGAGTGGTTCTTGACAGACGCAGACATCTCTGTGTCCCCCAGTGGTGCTCTGGAGGCCTGCTGGGATGCTGGCCTCCGGTGTGCCTCTAGGCGCGTCACCGGACCTCAAGCTTGGTGGCCTCGTCTGCACACAGGGACCCCCTATGGAGTCGTGCAGGGATAAGGGTGAAGTGTGCGCCATGCCACACGTGGCAAGTGCCCGGAAATGCTAGTTTTCATGGGTTTAATAAGTCAAGTAAAAGACTTTCTAAAGGAAGAGTGTCACAGACCATCGTGAAGGCACGATTTCCTTAATTTTTTTTGATGTCTTGTAAGACTATCTTTGCCTGAAGCATCTGTCGTTTTCCCCTCAGGTTCAGCGGAAGGCCCTGGAAAAGGAGATGCTCAGTCTGGGTGTGGACGTGGAGGGTAATGACAATGTGAGTGCGCAGACAGGGTCGCAGCTGGGTGCACTTGTGCTGAGAAATTGGGTCTCAGAACCCTGTGGGTCACAGCGCTGGTGAAAAACGAAACGAGAGCTTGCAGTGTTCCCGTGGGGCGCCTCCCAGGCTGGGCAGCCTGCTTGGAAATGCAGCCCCTTGGTCCCTCCCAGGGAATATCGAGCGTTGGGCCCAAGGGGCCACATTGTCTGTCGGTGCACGGTGCTGCAGCCACACTCAGGTTTTGTGTTCCTGTTCGAGAAGGACTTAGATAGACCTTGCACACACCATTGTCCTTAATGAGAGCCCTCCCTGTGGGAAGGCCTTTCCTTAGCTGTCACTCTATCGTCCTGTTTACTTAATGTGCCAGGTTTGTCACCAAGCCTGGAAGCCAGGCCGGTATCCTGGAGTGTGTCTTTTGTGCTTTTCAGGCCCATTATGCAGTCCAGGACAGAAGGTCTCGGAGTGTCACTAGGAAGAGGAAGCGGGAAGACTCAGTCCCACCCACGTCTGTCGCCCGGAGCCGCAGTTGCTCTCGAACTCCACGGGATACCTCTGGACTTCGGGACATCAAGGTTAGTCCCTGTGGTGTGCAGTTGGTGGCTCTGCTTTTGGTTTCATGGTGGCTCAGGGCAAACCCAACAGCTGTCATTTGGAGCCTGCAGGTCGGGGTCCACTGTGTCTGCACCTTGATAGCTGCGCTTGGGCCACGCTTCATTGGGTGTCCCTGCACCTCTGCCTGGTGCACATTGCCTGGGGGCAGACAGAAGCATGGTGTCACTCAGGGTCCCAGCCGTTGAGGGGAGTGCTGGGCAGGGGGCCCTCACCCACACTGAGCCATGCTGGGAACCAGCCCAGAGACCCTTTTTGTCCAGTTTTATCCGAAAGACACTTTGGGTTTACTGGGGTTTTTTCATTAAACACAAAAATTGTTAGTTTCAACATTTTGAAAATTCAGTTAAGGATAAAGTCTATATAAAGTAGCAAGCAGTGTACTTCATGGAAAATAAGGGCTTTCATGTTGGCATCACGACATGTTAGTCATAAGTGAGCAGGACAGTTTCATGGGCCTGAATGTGAGTTTCTTTTTTGTCCAAGAGGCAGTTAGAACAAAAACACTCTCACCTTCCCGGCAGTATGCCTGGTCCTTCTAGGCACGCACCTTGTCCGGTGTAGCTTTCCTGCTGCCTTCGCACATGCAGACCAGTCGAGTTCCTGCAGACACTGGAGGGCCCGAGGAAAACAGTGGTGACTGGCCCTTACCAGGGTTCTTCACCAAGCAGACCTGGGCTGGTAGACTGAACAGGTCATGGAGATGCACATGCAAGCTTGGTTTGGGGAGCTAGCGTGTTTTGTGTTTTCTCCTCCGTTGCAGATGGTGAAGAAAGCCAAGACCATGATGAAGAGCGCACAGAAGAAGATGAACCGTCTGGGCAGGAAGGGGGAGGCAGACAGGCACGTGTTTGACATGAAGCCGAAGCACCTGCTTTCTGGGAAGAGGAAAGCTGGAAAAAAGGACAGGAGGTAGTGTCCTTTGCAGCTGAACACTTTGGCAAGACTGTCGTCTTCTGGCTTCGTATGGTATTTCACGAAATTGGAGTCAGGAGCTATAAATGGGGCATAACAGGGAAGTAACTAAAACCTGTTCTTCTCCTGAAAAGTATGGTTAACCCTCAACTGTGCCAGTGTGAGAGAGATTTGTCTCTGCAGAATGTTATAGGTATTTTGAGCAGACTGTGGTTTCTGCATTTAGTGCAATTTTGGTTATATCAGATTTTTAGAGCTGGAGAGAATCGTTGATGTGACTTGTTTTTGATGGAGAAAAATCTTACTGTCTTCAGTAAGAGGGAACTTGGTTTGCTTTACTGTATGTGAATGGTCTGTTTTTGCAAAGAAAACAACTCCACTTGTGGACATGTGCAGAAGGCTGCTAGTCCTGCCCTGCAGACACAGGCATGAATGCGGGCTTATGCGAGGACACCAGCACTAAATTATTTTCTAGTCTTTGCACAATGTACCATTGTGATGTCTTTAACCATTATCCAAAATAAATTTCTAAAGCAAAGTCATTTTGATTCTTCTTCCTTTTTTATTTTTTTGGTTTAGTTACAATCACTGTCAGTTTGGCCAAATGTAAAAAGTGGGGAAAGAAGAGAAAATTATTTTGTTTTAAAAGCAAAACTACTTTTATGTGGAATAAAACGTGACGTAAGGCACTATAGCAATTAAATGTGGGCCTCTCCTGCTCCGGTAGTCCATTTCTGAAAATCACGTGCTCAGTAACACAAACACCCCAGCCCTACCACAAAAGCACCTCCGGGGATGTGGGAGTCTGTTTTCAGTTGTTTTAAATAGAAATCATTGTGACATGTGTGTCACTCGAACTTTGGGGAAGATGGCGGACTGGGAAGCACCAGGAACTCACCTCCTTGAGGACAGTGGCAGCGTCAGGACCTGGTGGAACTGTCAGAACTGGAGCCTCTGAAGGCATGCCGCTTCCAGGGAAGGGCTTGGCCAGTAAGACAGCTTTGGTCTGTTTTAGCCCTTGCTGCTTAATACTTACCTAACCCCCCCTCCCCACCAACCCTCCCCACCCTGCGTCCCCATCCCCCAGCCTGGTTGTTGGAGCCACTTGTGGGTGGGCAGCCAAGGACCTCTCCTCCAAATATGGGCATCTGTTTTCGTTGCTGATTGCTGCTCCTGATAGCAGATGTGGACCCCCATTCTTGCAGTTCCCTTATGCTGTATCGGAATTTTCCCCCTTGCATTTTTCTTTTTTCACCTAACCCTTTTGGGTGCCAGACTTTAAAGAACAAGTTTGTATTCAGGGGAGTTTAGAAAGCGCTCACGCCCAGGACAGAAAAGAACATTTGTACCTCGGGCTGGTACAGAGATACCATACAACAATCCAAAAAAAAAAAAAAAATTGAGCTACCCTGCTGAAGGGGGAGAAGCTGATTTACAAAATTACCACATTATACAATTCAAATGGCCAGTTTAAAAAAACAAAACAAAAACAAGGTATACAAATAAATAGGAAAGTGTGGCCCATTAAAGGAAAAAATAACCAGATGGTCCCCAAGGAAGACCAGATGGTGGACTTAACTCGACAAAGACTTTAAAACAGTTGTTTTAAAGATGCTCAAAAAGCTAAAGGAAGATGTGGACACAGGAAAAACAATGTATGAACAAAATAGAAATAATAGAAGGTACCAAAAAATTCTGGAGCTGGAAAGTGCAGACAACAAAAGGAGATAAATGGGACTACAATCAAACAAATTTCTACACATCAAAGGAAATAACAGTAAAAAGACAACTTACAGAAAGGGAGAAAATATATGCAAATAATATATATCAATTAGATTAATGGCCACAATATATAAGGAACTCCTACAACTGAATTATAAAACAAAAAATACTTATTAAAAAATGGGCAAGACAGCTGAGTGGCACGTTAAGAGTTGGCTTGGAATGCCAGCTCTGAGCAGCAGGGCCCCAGTTCGGATCCCATGTGAGGGCCAGCGACGCTGCGCCCTCTACAGATAAGATGGTGAACAACAGCTCAACCTGGAGCTGGGCTTCCATGAGTCGCCAGCGATGGCGTAGGCTGCAGCACCTGTGGCAGTGGGCTGCCATGAGCTACCGTGTGTGGCTGGCAGCCAGCGTGAGCAGCCTGCAGCCAGGGTGAGCTGCCAAGAGCCGCCGTGAGCAGCCGTCCAGTGGCCGGCGACCAATCTGCCTCACCCAGGAAGAGTGCAATGATAATACCAACATGGGCCAGTGAAGTGACGTCCTCACAACTAGACTGAAGAACAAAAGGACAGAGCAACTTGTCTATTTCCCTTCCCCGATTCCCCAACGCTGTTCTCCTCCCCCAATTCCCCAATTTAAAAAAAAAAGGGCAAGAGACTTGAATAGTCCTCCAAAAAAGATAACAGATGACCATGCGAATGAAAACATGATCGAGAAATCCTGAGGAAGCTAACTCAATATCACCAATAAGTTACATGTCCCCACGTGTGATGGCCTGAGGACACAATATTACTTCTGAAATGTTCTGTCTAAAAGTGCTTCATGTGAATCTCATCATGGGAAACTAAAATAGGGAGCATCTTGTAAAATAATTGATGTGGGATCTTAGTCATGAAGGACAAAAGGGCAGGGGACTTGTAGGTGATGAGCCATGAGTAATGTGACACTTGACTGAGGCCTGGGGGAGAGGGAGGCAGAGCTTATAAAAGTCAGTATTGAGAAAGGGGAAGTTGAACTATGAGCTATTTTCAATGAAAGTATGTGTCAGATGTCCTTTTGTGCTCATTGGTGGCTGTGTGGCGCGCCATCTTAGGAAATATGCGCTGAAGCAGAGGGTGAAAGGTCATTAGGTGTCCTAGATTTATTTCAGCGTTTGTGTGCCAACCTGTTCAGTCGGTAAACCTATGTCAAGGATACATAACTGGCTGCGCACTGTACTGTGCTTGTAATGTTTCTGTAGGTTTGAAATTTTTCAAAATGAAAATTTGGAGGAAATAAATCCCCACCCTCACAGAACTCACACCAGGTGGGACAGACAGGTAATAAATTCTGTGCTGTATTAGGTGTTAGGTGGTAGGAAAACAACAGGAAAGGAGGGTGAAGTGTGGGAGAAATGAGTCAAACAGGTCTGTACGGAGCAGTCTCGAAAAAATGGGGAGTGTCATGGAGGTCTCTGGAAACAGAAATTTCTAGGAATTTAATGGGAAGGAGCAGAAGACGTAGGTGGGAGCAGGCTGGTGTTCTCAAGGGGCTGCACAGGGCAGTGAAGGGGTGCAGTCAGCGGGGCAGCTCCTGTGGTGTCCGGGTGCTCCAGACACTGTGTCTGTCCTGTGCATTCTGAGCAGAGCAGGTCCAACTGCTGGCTGGGTCGCGGGCAGACATTGAGGCAAGTGTGGCAGCAGGCCACCCAGGGAGGGGCAGTGCCAGGATGACCAGGACATAGTAGCAGGAAAGGTGAGCTTATTCAAAGGATTTCCTCACTGGATACATGGTGTGGGAGGGCAGGAAATTGAGTGACTCCAGGGTTTAGCCTGAGTGAAGGGAAAAGGGGAACCAGGAACAGGGGTGGCCGGGAAGGGTTGCCAGGCTTGTGGCCCACGTGTGGGTGACCTGTTTACACAGTTGTCACCAGTACACAATGGAATCCCATGGAGTTAAATGTGGGAGTCTAAAGCACATAGGTGATGGATGTGTGAGAAATTATAACGTGGAAACTTGTCAGGATACCGAAGTGTGCACAAATTACACTGAAGTTCACTAAAATGTGACAAGCACAGGTTCAGGGCTCCAAGTTCAAGGAGAGGTGTATCAATACTAAACACCCCATCTGGTAGGGGTTCAGGGTACCCACAGGTAGGTGTGGACATACCCAAAAATATAGGAAGGTGGGCCCCCCATCCTGGGGAGGGCAGGCGTCCCCCAGGGAGCCGATGGGACAGCTTCCACCTGAGTGACTGCACCCACAGCTTCCTGGCTGTCCTCATCTGCGCCTGACCCACCTGCTAGGGCCAACTGAGGGACTAGTAGTGCCTCCTACAGCATCTTCTGTTGCTGTTGTCCTCTGGGTAATGCAAGTTTGGGGACAATAAACCGCAAAACTACCTCTGGCCCTTCCAGGGCTTGTTTTTAACGCCTGTTGTCTTTAATAGGATGAGTGAGTTCTAAGGAGCTCACCAGGCCAAAGGGGCAGTGCAGTCATGTGATAGTGGAATTATAACACACACTGGTCTCAGGCTCCACTGTCAAGTATGGCAGCTACCAGCCATTGGTAGCCATGGTAACTAGTCCTGCGTGGCTTTCAGCCTAAAACTTCCTAGATAAGAAAACTTAACTAGAAATAATGTTATGAGTGCACTTTAAAATATATAGCATTTATGTTTAAGCTACCACATTAACCTATTGTATTAAAATTTTAAGGGCTGGC